GAGAATTCACCGCCTAATCCATGCGATTTAATTTCTTCAATTGCTTCGTCAATAGGAGCCATATTGGTGGAGTTATGAGGGTTGCAAGTTGAGGGTGAGATCAGCTGAAACTTGGTGGGGTGGCCCAAGCCGTGAACCGGCTCACACCGTGACCCACCAGGTTACCGAATGCAATGATATGATATCTTTTTAAGTCGATGCGGATCGCACAGAACACTCTGTTTGGTAGCGGAATTTCGCGTGTAGGACTTCCGGTTCTGAAGACACCTTATTTGGGCTGGAAAGCTTCTATCTTGAGAGCAATTACACTACTTTAAGGATGGGGAAATATTGTGTGAAAGGAAGGCGAAGGATTGACAGTGCACCCAACGTTCGATCCCACTGTCACTTTTTCCCGACAATTTGAGAGATTGGACTGGCACCTTGAATTCTGATCAGTACTATTTGGATGGCCTCTCGCTATCAGAATAAATAGGATGTAAGCAATACTGTGAAACTTATCCAAAGGGGATGCAGCGCGCAATACATCACTTAGAGGGCGAGCTCTTACTATCCCGAGAGTGAGGTTGGATAGCTGCACTCCGTCCCACTTTCCCCCCTTTGTACCAACCTCACCAAAATCAACCACCGATCTCGCACCTAAATAGCCACCCACCACCCTGCATCTGCCTTTTGGGCCCAATCAGCTGTGATTTGTATGCGATTTCCATAGAAGGCAGCGCCAACTTCATGCGATGCGTGGTTGTTGTGCAGCAGATTGCGCGGGTTTGAGTGAGGTCAGATGCTATATGCGAGAGCCATCCCATGACCATAACGACGAAGGACTGTAGGGTGCGAGTGCGGTCCTGAAGAGTGTGGTAAAAGGGATGGTAGGGATGCTTCCTAAGACAAATGGTAAGCACCAAGAAGCAAATATTAGGCAGGTACTTTGGCTCGGTTGGCATCTCTGATTAGACAGGTATTACGAAGACAAAAGGACATCAGAGAGGGATAGAACAAGGCAAGTAGGTGTTAAGCAGAGTGAGGTATACCTACTCGAGTTCCTTGTCACGATATTCCTCGTTGAGATGCTGCCCCGTACGCTTGCCAATTCCCCATCCTACTCCCGTCCCCGAACCGGTGTAGCGGACAGATTTTTTATATTCACTGATGATTGAGGGCTCAGTGAAGCCGAGATAGGCGCTAGGGTCAAAATTGTCACCATCGACAACATCGAGGCCGCGGATATCGGCCACAGATGGCGGATTCTCTTGGTCGAGGATCTTCTTCACCTTGTCTGAGGTCCCCTTGGAGATAGCTTCGACCCAGTACTCAGTTTCTGCACTATCCAGGTCCTTTTTCCATTGTACTGTCATATCCAGATCGCCAAATCCTCGAATGCCCTCAATGATCTTACGGAGGCGGTTTTGGAATGTAGGGAACTGCATGATGAAAGGAGAATGACTTGAATTGTAGGGCGGTAAACGAGACGGAGAAGTTGCAAAGCGAAACTTGAAGAAACGATTTGAATTGGGAAGACGAACTGAAATTAAATGGACACTGTGTCAATCAGAGATTTCGAAGGTCAAGAGAAATGCTCTTGCCTTGAAAGATGATGACACAACTCTTCAACGTGGGCTCACAGGAAGAGGAAGTTACGATTCTCTCAACCAAGCTACCGTACTACGACAACTAGATTCGCCACCCCGCGCCGCTTCCCTATCGACGAGAGCAGATATATACTTTTAAGAATATGAGCATTTTATGGAAAAGGTAGGCAAGGGATTGTCAGTGCACCGAACGTCTAATATTCATGATGCTATGAGAGAGTCGGAAAGAACGACACAGCCCAATCCAATAGAACCCAACGGTCAAAGCAAAGGCCGCAAGGGTACTCTCCCGTGGTCTCATAAACACAATAATTTTAGTTAATATTGCGCGGTAGCACTGAAAAGAGTTAGATTATCACCGAGAAAGTTTTACACGACAGTATTGAGTGCAGCGATGTGATCCGACATGCATTGCTACACCACGCTATAGCCAGACAGAAGAGGTTTAAGAGACCGAGAAACCTCAAGAGAAATAATGAAAGTTCACAGCAGACCTCAACGTAAGGAAGCATGACGTCAGTCATGACCATTACATTTCCGCAAGTATCAAACTCTAAAGTCGTTCATAATGCTCTCAAGCACACCTGTTCCATCCCAACCATGATGATACCATGCTCACATATCGTACACCGCCATCCCTTACTGTTTGCTCGTCTTCTCCTCGGCGTGCTTCTCGAGCGGATGCGTTGGGTTGGAGCTCAACCCCGCTTTCTGGTTGTCCGAAGCCTCCTTTGCGTGTTCTTGCGAGGGCGCGCCGCCTTGCTTGTTGATGTTTGTGGTGGTGGCGCCGGATTGGCCGCTGGACTGGTTCTCGGGGTCAGGGGACTGACGACCGGCGTTGGGAGCGGACATTGTGGATCTGGGCGGAGGTGTGAGTTTGATAGATTATGGTGAGGACTGGGGGAAATGGTATTTGGAGGGTGTTAGATGGAAGGGCGAGGTGGGCATACGGTTTGGTGGGTTGTGGGTTTGGTACGTCTACGGGGAGTGTTAGTAGGCTTGATGGTCGCACGCGAGGGTGGGAATAAGACTTACAAGGTGTTTGTTTGGGTTTGAACAATCAATTGGAGTTCGAGGATGGGTTCGAGATGTCGATGAAGTGA